CCAAGGCATGGGCGGTTTCCCAGTGTGGTGCTGCGCTGCCCTTAGAGCTTTCAGAGCCGTCTTCCCACAGGGAWATGGCTTCCAAGGGCTCATCTATCAGTTTCAACCTCCATGTCTGGCTCCTCCCGCATGGGCAGTGTGCTGAGATACAAAGCTCCAAGGATTTGGAGTCCAAGATCCAGGTTTGGATTCCAGCTCTGGCACTTACTAGCAAACTGAATCTGAATTTCAGTTTTCCTCATTTGGAAAAAAGGGCTATTACCTGCCTCATGGGGTGACCGAGTATCTTGTGTATAGAAGGTATATCAACTCTCGTGCCCAGTTTAGTTCATGGATTCTCATGTGTTCCCTACATATTCTTGGTAAACTGTTTTCTTTCCCCTCTAATCAAGTTGTGTTTTTTTGGACAGGGCAAAATGACATTGTCCAGGGAATTTTTCTTCGAGGAGCCATACCCTCCCTATTAGAAAACAGTCCAGCTCAATATGTATTGTTCTAGAGGGGCTGCTTAGCCCCTTCAGAATGGATCTGTGACTCAGGCCTGGCCAGCAGGGTACTAGATTAGTTCATCTCCCAGGCACACCAAATGGTTTACAGATGGGTGTGGGTTTCAAGCCAGAGTCCTCCTAAGGAATTTTCCTGGAGCATTTCAAGGAGATATTTGTTTTTTCTCTGGAATTACAAGCTCTAAGAAGCCATTAGTGCAGTTGCCAGTTGACATCTTCTTGCCACGTGGAAAATGCCTGTCTGGATGGGGAAACCCCAAATACAGATGGGAAGACCCAAGGGATGCAGAAAATGAGAGTCCTGATGCCCTTGTTTGAACCACTGGATTAACCACTGACCATTGGTTATTTGAGCCAGCAAATTCCTTTTGTTAAATAATTAAGCCAGTTTGATTGGGCTTCTGAGTATGCAACAGTRCCATACAATGTTGACCATTTCACTGTTACAATAAAATCATGTGTTCTCTCTCATGGTTTCATATTAATTCTTCATTAAAATCAATTCTCCTAATTATATAGAAAAAATCCTAAAACTCAATGCATGTGCATGGCATGTTAGAAATTTTACAAATTTGGAGACCATGTCTTAAGTTCTGGCTTTGCCATTTACATCTTGGGCAAATGAGTCAACCCTTCTGAGCTTCATTTCCCTACCACTAAAATGGGGGTGATATTTTGTTTATATGGCTGTTTTATGGGTTGGAGCTAAGGGAAATACAGGAAAGGCATACAGAGGGCCATTAGCAAGTATTTTATTCTCAGGTAGTATCTCAATAGCATTTACTCTGTATCATTGTCTCTGGATGCTGAATTTATGTATTTTCTACTTCATTTCGTGTTACATCTTTTAGCCCCCATGGTATTCAGGATTGTGGCTCTGACCAAGGACAGGACAGGAACTTACAGGCTTTGGGGAAAGATGGGAGATGAGGGGGTGGACAGGAATTTCAAAGCTTAAATGGGGGAAGAGGTGAAATTAGCCTTATTTAAAACATTTGTAACTGCAGAACTTTACACCCACTTTCCATTTATAAATATCCCTGTCTCTCAGCTTGACTCCTCCAGCACAAGACTTCAGTGGAAGATAACAGACACAGATCGCAGCTGCCACAGAAGCACAAATGTGCAGAGCAGAGGAGGAGGTTGCAGAATTGGGACTATGTGGCTTGGGCTCGGGGTGAAAGGATTAGGATGTTAAGGCAAGAAATCTTAAGAAACTTGGGTCAGAAAAGGTTTTTGTCCTTTGTCACTTGCCAGCATAGGCGGAGGAAAGTTGAAGACATCATCCATACCTTGGTCTCCTATAGAGCTCTGGCTTTATCTACTGCCAACTGACTGTCCTGCCCTGGTGGCAGGAAGACCAGATAGAAGGCTGTTGCCACAGCTGAGCAGAGATGATGCACCAAGGTGGTGGGGATGCAAGGGAGGTGACAAATTCAAGAGACATTTCTGAGAATCTAGCAGTGAGTTTTTAGAAGCAGGGGGAGAGAAAGAGGCTTTTTAAAAWTTTTATTTATTTATTTTTATTTTGGTGGTGCTGGGGACTGAATCCAGGGCCTTGTGCATGTAAGGCAAGCACTCAACCAACTGAGCTATATCCCCAGCCTGATCTCCAGGGTTTCTAATTTGAGATACAGGATTGGTGTCTGGGAGAAAGGTTTGGGAGAGATGCCTTTACTAAGTCTTCGATTTTGCCCATGTTATTGCTAATCTGTAAAATATTCTCTCAAGACTCTAACAATAATAGCTACCACATACTAAATAATTACCATGCCAGAAAACTGTACTCAACTTAATACTTCCACATGTACCATTTCTCATTTTAGAGATAAGAGCATGATGAGTAAGGGGCCACACAAAGTGGTACATGTCTGTAATCCCAGTGGCTCAGGAGTCTTGGTTTGCCAAGTTCAAAGCCAGAAAGCCAGCTTCAACTTAGGCCCTCAGCAACTTAATGATACCCTGTCTCAAAAAAAAAAAAAAAAAAAAAAAAGAAAAAGAAAAAAGAAAGAGTATAAGGCTTTATACAGCTATGGGTTTCATTCCCAGCACTGAAAACACAATTAAACAAAACTGAAAATTAAGTATCCTGCCCAGGGTCCCACAGCTAACAAGTAACAGGGATAGAATTATTCCCATTCTACCATCCTGCCTCCCAAGGTCCTCACCATCCTTAGAACTTAGAAGACTAACTCAAGGGGTGGGGATATAGCTCAGTTGGTAGAGTGCTTGCCTCYGTGCACAAGGCCTTGGGTTCAATCACCAGCACACACACTCAAAAAGGGGAAAAAAAAAAAAACACTAAATACCACTCTTTCATGATGTCTTCAGTGATTCCCCAACAAAACAGATTTACCTCTTGACCCCACGGTGCTTACTTTCAATATGTCCTAGCATATGCTGCTTCCTACAAGCAGGAAGTGATCACAGCAAGTTTCCAGAGCTTCAGTGAGCATTCTTTTTCAGTGACTGTTTTGCATTTGATTACATGCAACTTCTCCTATACTCTGGTTTCTGTTTTGGGTACTAAAGCCAGGGGCTAAATCCACTGAGCAACATCTGTAGTCCTTTCTTTTTTTTTTTTTTTTTATGTTGAGTTGCCTAGGCTGGCCTTGAACTTGTGCCTCAGCCTTCTGAGTCTCTGGAATTACAAATTTCTGCCACTGAGCCTGGCTCCAACACTCAGTTTTTAAATCTGTTTCTCAGTGGATAATAAGGGCCACGGAGGACAGGGATATTTATCACAGGCCTCTGTGTCCTCCATTGCCCCTAGCACTGGGACTTTGCCCAAACTACTTACTTAATAACTGACAGATGCATTTTTAAACTCTCAATGTGGGATCCTGGGGGAAGGAAAAGCATGAGACACTGAATTCCAGTGGAGGCGAGCAGTATGAAGCGAGGCGTGCTTCTGTTTCCTTTTTCACCCTCCTCTTTTGTTTTCAGCCAAAGGACATTCTTACCACTCTTTCTGACGCCAGCTGGGCAGGGCCCTGACTGGATAGAACAGTTCTTTAATCTAACCTCTGACTTTTCATGACATTCTGGAAAGAAAAGTAATATCTAATAGATTTTCCATGGTAATATGGAATTACCAGCGATAAGTCCATTTTTTTTTTGCTACCTTCATGAGGCAGAGGTTGGTACTACAAAATTTCCTGTCACCCATGTATCATCTTGGACTTGGAGAAGGGAAAGATAAATGTCAAGATTTACCCCCTTCGGGGGGGCTGGAGATGTGGCTCAGCGGTAGCGCGCTCCTCTGGCATGCGTGCGGCCCGGGTTCGATCCTCAGCACCACATACCAACAAAGATGTTGTGTCCGCCGAGAACTTAAAAATAAATATTAAAAAATTCTCTCTCTCTCCCCTCTCTCTCTTAAAAAAAAAAAAAAAAAGATTTACCCCTTCTCAGGAAGCTGGGATTCTTCAAGAGCAGCCCCAGGTCCCTGTCCTCCTCCTTGCCTTGGTGCCCTTTAAAGTAGCCCTTTACTCACATTTTGGTATGTGATACTGATCAGAAACTAAGTGAAGAAATTCTTTCCGGCTGCAACAAGTTGGTTCTGAACAATATCATTTTCAATTAAAAATGTGCTTAACTATTTCTAAACAAGAGATCTGGGGCCCTGACTGACAGCAGAGAAGTTCTCTTGTGAGACATGGCATAATAGGCTCTTCAAGACTTTGTCTCTTGGCTATGGGATAATGGCAGTTGAGAACATTGTGGAGACTTAACTCATATACACTGCTAGGGCCTCCCCAAGACATTTCTCTAGGCAGCAAGCGATGAGGAAGCTCTCATATGGACAAGTTGGTTGGGAGAAAAACTTTCTCACTTGCTTTGGAAAAGTAATCCCCATTTGAGATATCTGAAAAACAGTTATGTSTGGTTAGGAGCAAAAGAACCTTTTATTTGCAACTTTCCCTCCAAGACAAAAACCAGGATGTAAGATTCTCTCTTAAAAACTAGGCAAGTGCCCAACTACTGAGCTGTATCCCCRGTCCTCTTACGTGCATGTGTGTGTGTTTGGGGATTGAACCAGGGCTGCTTAATCACTGAGCCACATCCCCAGCCCTTTTTTTAAATTTTGAAGTTGCTGAGGTTGACCCTGAACTTGCAATCCTCCTGCCTTGGCCTCTAGTCACTGGGATTATAGGCATRTGCTACCACACCTGGCTTGTATGAGTGTATGAAGAGTATCTAGTTGCATTTACTAACCTATGAATAAACTTCAGTTACGTTAAAATTATTTTATGGAGGACCACAGCTATCGGCCCCTAATGAATCTATAACTTGGATGCAGCAAAAATGAAATGACTCAAATATTTTGACTGAGCATTTCCAGACATTGGTGAATTCAGCTGGCCATATCATTCAATTCACATAGACAAAACCAAAGCCTTGGTGCCCTCTGCTGGTGATGGGTTATTACAGTCAGACATGCTTCTCAGAGGGAGGCGTATATGTACACAGAAGCCACAGGATAAACATGGCAAAGTTTTCCTAGATCAGCTTTACTTGAAGATTTTTTTGAGGGGGGAGGGGGGAGAAAAAAGTAGGTAATGTAAAACATTTTTATATTAAAACAAATTCTGATAATATCGAATAAAATATAAAACTTACATTACTTTTTAAGACAGAATATTTGACATCAAAGACATTTCGAGCTAAGCTAGTCTCATGAGCTTCAGGTTGTAGCCTAAACCCTGCAGGAGGGAAAAGACCCCTATGTGCCCCAGTTACCTAATATTATGGGTGCTGCTACTTTGATAGACAAATCTAGAAGCAGCAAATTAAGTGCTTACTCATTTGGCAAAGTCCCAGTAGATTAAATAAGTGAAACCATAGGCTTTCTCATTTTAGGGCATAACCTGTTTTCAAAAGCCCTGAATAAATAGGAGCTTTATGCTTGAGTTGAATTTTATTTCCTTTGAAAGTGATTTTTCTTCCAAACGTTTATTAACATGCCTGAGGGTATGACATGCGAGGTGATAAATATCCTAAGAACCCTGTGGACTTACGTCCATATTCCCAGATACAAATACGCTTTCTGAGGGTGTCATCAGGAATTAAAACAAATTACTCACCTTTTGCAAAAATAACAAAAAGGAAACAAAACAAAAAACTTAGGAACAAAAGATCGAATATAATGAGAACCATATAGTGATGGAATTTAGGGACTGGCCAATACSTAGCTCTTAGAGAAGGAGGCTACTGCCACACTATTTGCTTTTCATATTTTAGGTAAAAACAAAAACTTCTTTACGTGGGGGAAAAAATGTCATCATACCTTCTTTCCAAATCTTATTCTTTACAATCATTCTTTCTCTTTGATGGCTCATGTAGAGATTTTTCTACGGTAATTTAGCAACATACTGTCTGTCCTTTCTTTGAAGTATAAAAGACAAGATGCCTTTTTAATTCCTTAAATTTTATAGAAGCATTTCTTCTTGGGATTCTACTCTTCATTTTACAAAGCCTTAAATTGAGACTCAAATCAACAACCACCTGCCGGTACCTTTAGGAAAATATAAGTTTTTTTTTTTCCTTTAGTTTACATAAAACAAGAATCTGGAGCAATAAATGTCCCATTTCAGAATAACTAATGGGGGAATATCRGTGGTAAATGATGTGCTAGGAAAAAGAACAAAAAAGGCAGACACCAGTCACCTCCATTTTCCCAAGATTAAATGATTATTAAAAAAGCGCGCCACACTGTATAGAAATCAACATTCTCTCCCATAATTCTGTGCGTCTGGGACTATAGAAATGTCACTGTCCCTGCCCCACATCTTCAAATTAACATTCTCAGGTCACAACAATAAGTCTTCCCAAAAGGGACCTTCCGGAAAAACAAGCTATTTCCTCGGCTCATATTTCCCTGGGGAAAAAAAAACAAAACACAAATATAGAATGAAGATGGAATAAGTCGTCAAACGAAATCAGCAGAGATCCAATTGGACATGTTTCTAGAAGACACAACTAAAATGACCAGGACAAAACTGGGATCATCACTACCAAACGGCTCTCCCATTACCCCAGTGGTGCTAGGTATCAAACTGAGAGCCTTGTTCAGGCTCCACAAGTATTCTACCACTGAGCTACAACCCTAGACTGCCAAAGGAATTCTCTTCTCTGACAGCCTGAGCTACAGGAGAACTGACTTCAACTTCTCCTCATCGATAAGGCAAAAATTTCATACTTATAGAGAATGTTCAGTTATGATTTGGATTATTAAAATAGTTATTAATAGCTGTTATTAAATTATTCAATCATGAAGAGCACTTAGAACAATGTTAAACACTCAGTTAAATACTTTTCTTTTTCTTTTTCAGTGCTAAGGATTGAACCTAAGGCCTCACACATGCTGGGCAAGCACCCTACCATTTATCTTTTTAATGAAATAGTCAAGGTTCTAAATTTGGGGGTGGAGTGGTACTGGAAATTGAACTCAGGGGCACTTGACCACCGAGCCACATCCTTGGCCCTTGTATTTTATTTAGAGACAGGGTCTCGCTCAGTTGCTTAGCACCTCGATTTTTGCTGAGGCAGGCTTTGAGTTTGTGATCCTCCTGCCTCAGCCTCCCAAGCTGCTGGGATTGCAGACATGTACCACTGTGCATGGCTCAAATTTCTAATTAAAAGAAAAAAAAGAAAAAACTTCATATGTGAAAAGGAATCATAATGAACATAATGGTCTGGTTATTTTGAGAATTCCATGGAAATTCCAAGTCTAATGTCTGATATATAGTGAATGCCCAATCCAGATGATCTGTTGTTAAGCATCTGTAGGATAACTGTTCCCTAGGTGTGTGTCTTGACACCCTAGTCCATTTTCAACCTTCTTTCTATAGTAGGAAGTTAGTTAAAAGTGGGGGAAGAAAGGCCATATTTTGAAATGAGGACCCAYCAGGAGACTATCCAATAAAGAAAATTCATGATTGCTCTGTATGAAAATAACTCGAGGGTTCTAGTGTGGCATACAGCGTATGCACGCTGAGCAAAACCAACCACAGCAACCCTTAGGCCTTTTCATCAGTGCTCAGCYGTGAACAAAGGCCTTTGTCATAAGTATCACTAGAGTCATAAAATAATGCAACAAAGAGTGTCTTTATACACTTTCTTCTACAATCCTTTAAAAAGTGCCTCCCACTCAAAAACAGCTTTAAACTGATGGCCATTTTAAGTGTTCCATGCTGAATTTACTCCTCAGCTATATAATATTTTAGTTTCTGACAGAGTTTGATTTAGATTGATGAAAAATATTTGGTTGCAAATGACATGCCTCCCAGTAAGTGAAAATCATAAACTGGAGTCTGGATAAAATCATTCACTAAGATTTTAACAAATGTTAAAAACAGTAACCAGCCCATTTTTAACMTCTGTTACAAAATTTTTTCATAAACAGTAATTTCTTGTTTTTTAGTCTCCTCATCCCAACTGTGGGAAAAGACTTAAATATATAAGGAGATTCTGAGGAGTGAAAAAAAATGTGAATTTGAGGAGCTAGAGTATAGCTCAGTGGCAGAACATGTGCTTAGCATGCAAATGGCCCTGAGTTCAATCCCCGACACCAAAAAAGGCAAGTTTGAAACTGYCTGAAATGGAGGCAATCATTTGAATAATTAGGATAATTATCTATCTGGATCCTATTTGTAACTTGAATGTTATCACTCAAATGGCTTCCAGTTCACATCTAGGGATTCTTACTTCTTCCTTTCCCCTGCTGATGATTTCTAAGCATTATATTTTATAATTACGCTAGAGTAGGTACATAGAACACTGTAAAGGGTATGCTAATTAGTAGTTACAGAGTAAGCTACAAGAATTAACCTAGAATTCCAGAGATGTTAAGAAAACAAAATAAGAGAGTGGGAAAGAAGTACCTCTTTCTGTAGCGTGCACCAGCAATCTATCCAAGAACTATATATTGGGGAATAAGGAGGGCATCCACCAGCAAGCCTGAAACAGAAAAAAAAAAAAGATTAGGTATTCACACTAATTTTACAAAACATCCTCAAGAGTCTGACAAATCTTTTACAAAATTTCTTTCTATGTAGAAGATTCTCTCCCAGGTAGTTTTTGTTGTATGAAAATACTATACTAGAGGAGGAGAAAAATCAACCCCAGAATTAGACTCCATATCAACAAATAGTAGGCCAAACTTCAACCTAATTTTCTACATTTGAGTTTCACAATAGAGTTTGATTTAACTCTAGAACACAGAAACTGCATGGTAAAGAACAGGGAAAGGATTTAAAAACTGATTTTCACAAAGAACCTAAATATGACAATTGATATAAATACTGATGACTATGTGCTCCTATTCAAATATAATCCATAATCCACTTCTTGAAAAAATTATAAGAAATAATACATTAAACTCATTTTTCAAGTATGCTCTGGGCAAAAATGCAGCAGTTGCTCCAAAAATCAGAAGGTAACATGATAGTCTGTTCAAAACTCTACACAGCTAATGACATATTATGTCAGCTACCATAATGTAACGGTTTTGAATCAAAACAAAAAGCAAAACTTCTGCCCAACTTGCATCACTTGGTATCTAGAAGTTGGAAATCAAGCCAGGCGAGGTGGTTCATGCCTATAATCCCAGCTGCTCGGGCTGAGGCAGGGTGATCACAAGTTCAAAGCCAGCCTCAGCAACTTAACGTCTCAAAATAAAACACAAAAAGGGTTGGGGATGTGGCTCAGTGGCTAAGCACCCCTGGATTCAATCTCTGGAACCAAAAAAAAAAAAAAAAAAGAAAGTACAATAATTCTCTTTTTGGTACTGGTGATTGAACCCTGGGGCTCTTAACCACTGAGCCACATCTCCAACCCTTTTTATGCTTCTTTTTTAAAATACTTTTTTAGTTGTTGATGGATCTTTATTTATTTAATATGTGGTGCTGAGAATCGAACCCAATGCCTTGCACATGCTCACAAGTGCTCTACCACTGAACTACAATCCTGGGTCCCTTTTTATGTTTTATTTTGAGACAGAATCTCAATAAATTGCTGAGGGCCTCACTCAGTCCCTGAGGCTGGCTTTGAACTTGGAATCCCCCTGCCTCAGCCTTCTGAGCTGCTGGGATTACAGGCATGCACCACCATTCCCTGCTGCAAGTAGAATTATCTAATACTTGACCTTTTGAGGATAGGACCTATATAGTTTGTAAATGCATATCAATTTTTAAAAATTTATAAATACACAGGGTATTGTGGTACAGGTCTRTAATCCCAGCTATTTTGGGAGCCTGAGGCAGGAGGATCACATGTTCAAGACCAACCTGAAAAACTTAGTGATATCCTGTCTCAAAGAAAAAATAAAAAGAATTGGAGATATAGCTCAATGGTAGAGTCCCTTGGGTTCCACTGCCAGTAATGGAAAAATAAATAAATGTTTAAGAAATACTATTTATGCCTTTCTGTATTCCAAAAAAAAGGATATGAGGTAGTTGCTTACAAATATAAATTAATACTGCTGCATGAGGGCATATAGAGAAAAAATTATGAATCTAATACTAGCATTAAGTACATATTTACTTCCCAAATTCCCACTAGTACTGCCCTGTCAGGCATACAGGCAGCCGATTATCAGATAAGAAATGCAACGTATAGGGGCAGGAGTTGTGGCTCAGCAGCAGAGCGCTCGTTTCACACATGTGAGGCACTGGGTTCGATCCTCAGCACCACATAAAAATAAAGATGTGTGTCCACCGAAAACTAAAATAAATAAATACATACATACATACATACATACACACACACACACATAAAATAAAGGTATTAAAAAATTCTCTTAAAAAAAAAAAAGAAAGAAAGAAATGTAAAGTATAGGAGTTGGGGTATATAGCTCAGTGGCGGAGCACTAGTATGCGTAATGTCCTAGGTTTTATCCCCAGAAATGGAACAAACAAACAACAACAAAAGGAATGCAAAGTACTTACCCACAGTTGTTGACGGCCATAAGGTTAGATACAAGCACAAAGGGATACGTCAACATACTGGCAAAAAACTGCAAAATGGCAAAAAGATAGCTAAATTATTAGGCCATTCCTGCTCTTCATTCTCTTCTTTCCTCTTAAAGGCCTAGTGCTATAATAATCAACTACTTCAGTTTCTCAGTATCCCCAAAGAGACCAAGTTACACAATTTTTAGCCTGGAGATGCTTCTTCCTCCTAATATATCATTACAACCATTATTTTAACAAAGGCCACAAAATCTGCTTATCCTGAGACTAAGTTCTCATTCAAATAAAAATGAACTACATTATTTAAGAGAAAAAAATAAATATAATTCTACATCTATATACAGTACAAAGGAAGCATTTCAAACACTCTTGAGGAAAATAAGAGCTCTTTCCAAAGGCTATGCAAAGTAAAGGCCTGCTATTAGCTGGGTGTGATGTGTGCCTATCATCCCAGCTATTCCGGGAGGCTGAGGATCACTTAGAGCCCAGGAGTTTGAGACCAGCCTGGTAACACAGGGAGACATCATCATACATACATACATAAAGGTCAATATTCCAAGACCCCACAGTGATTAAAGAGGGTAAAGTTCTCTAGTGTTRGATGAACAGGACACAGTATCTACCCTTTGAAAGCTGAATAGCACCAAACTATGTGGGCTGTTATTACTGTTGCTATGAGGCAGCAACTGTATCATTTCTTACATTTGACAAATATTATCAAATCTGAGGGAGATTTCCCAGTGGGACATCTCGTGGCTTTAAAGCAGTGATCAAACAGGCCAAATTTAAAAGAAAAACAAAACTATTCTTAGAAGGTTAATAGGATTAAACAAAACTCACTCCTGTGACAGCTTGGGAATAACTTTTCATTTCATTCATGGTGGAAACCTAGAACAAGAAAAGAGCCTCTATTAGAATGAATCAGAATATTAAGCTGATATTAAGTTAACTGTCCCCAACATAACAATATATTTTATATCTAAATTATCAGTTTCTTTGACAACATGAAAATTCATTTTGAGAGTAAAAATACAAAATATTGAGTACAAATATTAAAAAACAGCAGTCAGAATGATCAATCTGATTCAAGACTGACAAAGGCCTATTACATTAGGATGGTTTAAGAACAAATGTAATAGCCTTAATATTCCAAAAACAAAGGAAAACGAGATCAGTAAACTATCTTTCCATGTCCCAGTAATACAGTACCTGAAAAATTTTTGTTTATATAGCCAAGAAACAATTTACTACCTCTATATACAGATTTGGACCAGGCACCTTGGAAAAGCTCCATCCCTATAGTCAAGAACCCTACAATGCTGGGCGCAATGGTGCAAGCCTATAATCCCAGCAGGTCTGGAGGCTGAGGCAGGAGGATAGTGAGTTCAAAGACTGTCTCAGCAACTCAGTGAGGCCCTAAGCAACTCAGTGAGATTCTGTCTCTAAATACAATATAAAAAAGGGCTGGGGATGTAACTCAGTGGTTAAGTGCCCCTAGATTCAATCCCTACTACCAAAATAAAATAAAATAAAATTAGATATTGCTGGGCAAGGTGGCACATGCCTATAATCCAAATGGCTCAGGAAACTGAGGCAGGGGGATCCCAAGTTCAAAGCCAGCCTTAGCAATTTAGCAAGGCCTATGTCTAAATTAAAAAAAAAAAAAAAAAAGGCTAGGGATGTGACTAAGTGGTTAAGAGAAGGGCCTCTGTGTTCAATCCCTGGTAGCAAAAAAAAAAAAAAAAAAAAATTTAGGTATCAATGAAGAGGTGATCTTAGCTGGGCACAGTAGTACATGCCTGTAATCTCAACTACTAGGGAGGCTGAGGCAGGAAGATTTCAAGTTTAAGGCTGCCTGGGTAACTTAGTAAGATCCTGTCTTAAGACACAAAATAAAATGGGCTTGGTATATAACTCAGAGGGAAAATGCTTGGCTAGCATGTACGAGGCCCTGGTTCAATCCCTACTACTAACCCTCTGCAAAAAAGTGATCTCTTTATAAACAACATGAAATAATGACAGGACTGGATCTCTCAGGAAAACTCTGTCATACCTCAGAGACTTTTTTAGGTGCATCTCTGTTAGCCTTGGAAAACTCACCTGATCATTTTTTTTCTATATAATGTTTAGTTTGTCATATTAACAAACTCCTATCTTGCTTTAAAGCTAAAGGAGCTATCAGGTAAGTGGAAAAAGCCCACACCAGCACAAGTCACCAAGGTTACAACCTACCCCGCTATCCAGTGCATAGGTATTGACGAGGTAGGCCAGTGAGTTACAGAGCCACAAAGAAATGATGTCACCTAGGAGGCGAGGAATTAGACCCCTATATGAAGAMACAATAAAAATAAGAACCAAAAAATGTGATCAGTGAAAAGAAAATCCACTCAAATACTTCTCAAAACGTTCTAGGGGATTGAAGACATCAATTCCAGAATCTAGACCTCACAGCTAGTTCAGTCTATCTGACACTCTTGCACTTAGGCTAACCTCCAATGACTTTTGATCCCATTTTTAAAATGCAGGTCAGCCTTGCCCCTCTCAACTATGGCCAATGGCTCACTTTACTATTAATAACTGTAAGCAGGGAAGCCAAATATTTGTGAGCTACTTTGAAGAAAAGACTTAAATAAGGTTTTACTAAACAATTTGATATTTAATTTGGAGGGAAAGAAAGGAGAAAAATTGCCAAGTGAGAGAATGTCCAAATATATACAGATGAGAGACATCAAAAAACTTATTTCCAGGGGCTGGGGTTGTGGCTCAGTGGTAGAGCACTTGCCTAGCATGCATGAGGCACTGGGTTCGATCCCCGGCACCACATGAAAATAAACAAATAAAATAATAAAGGTATTGTGTCCATTTACAACTTAAAAAAAAAAAAAAGTTTCCAGGGTCTGGGTGACCTAAGTGAGATGGCATGGATCGGTGGGAAGAAAATTATTCTGCAGACTGAAGACTAGGGTTCAAATGCCAGCTTCATCCTTCATTAGCAGGTCATAGGCAGCAAATGAATGCTCTTTAGCATGAGTGCTTTTTCAATTTTGAAAATATGACTAATGATGGCTGTCTGCCTATTTTCTAGAGTATTGATGATAATTAACAAACAAATGAACAAATTGGGACTGGGAGTAGAGCTCAGTGGCTCAGTAGTAGAGAGCATGCTTAGAATATGCAAAGCCCTGGATTCAATCCCARTCAATCAATCAATCAATCAAGTAGTGGAAATTCTCTGAAAATTCAAAAGGATCATTTAGTTATTAACACAAAGTTTTTCTTAATAGAAGAATACATGTAGTAATCTAAATTCTTCCAAAGTAAATTCAAGCTTTGCAAAAACTTACTCTTAGGACAGGGAAAATACATGGTAAAACAATCTTTCTGTTTTTCTGCTTGGTGTGGTGGCACATGCCTGTAATCCCAGCAACTCAGGAGGCTGAGGGAGGAGGATCACAAGCTTGAGGCCTGCCCAGCAACCTGCTGAGATGCTATCTCAAAATAAAAAATAAAAAGGGCTGGGATGTAGCTCAGTGGTAGAGCACCCCAGGGTTCAATCCCCAGTACCAAAAAAAAAAAAAAAAAAAAAAAATTCAGAGAAGGCTAAATGGAGATTAACATGATCCAGGAAGTACCTTTTCCATAGGGATTAAAAAAGACTCACTGTCTTCATTCTCAAAAAAAGCTTTTCTAACACACAAAAATCACATGTAGACAAATAGCATTTACTCACGCAAAAAATCCTAGAATGCCCTCTTCCCGATAGATGGTTACTATGGAGTCAYAAAGTCCACTAGGTACAGAACAAGGAAAGATAAAGTATGTTAAGATCATGTTGGAGCTATAAAAAAGCAATTTCAATGATCACTTGTGACAAAGTCAAATTTACAACCTTCCCTAGCACTTTCTCACTCTGCAAAGATAGTTAAATTTGAAGAAAAAAGTGTAGATATCAACTATGAAGGGTGTAGGATACAGAGTTCAGGGTGAATTGGGTTTCAGTGGCTCTGCAATTTACTCTTCCGTCCTCAGGAGACTTCTAGCCCTGCCTGCCTGGGCCTATTTTGTCTTATTTTATTGCTTTTTGTACATATTAAATGATGCATTCACATATGAATTTGTTCTACAAATGCTAAGGAMTCATAAAAATGTAAAGTAGCAAAGCTAAACAAAATACTTACCAGTACTTGGATTCTCTGCCAATGAACTGTACCATAGATCTCAGAGTGATCACTGTAGAACACAGAGAAAAGATTCTTAAAACTATGTTGAGATAGATTTTGATAGCCCTGAAAAAAAAAAAAAAGGTTTTCCACCTAAAGATACTTTGCTCTCTGGAAAAATCAGAGAAAAGTTAAAACAAACAAACAAAATACATGCATGTAAAGCACTTTGGTCAACTCCTACGTCAACCTATTTCAGTGGTCAGGAGAAATCAAGTTGTAAAAGAAAGATCARAAATCAGATTTCAGTTATCAACTGCAAACATACCGTGGAAGGGATGTGTGATGAGGGTAGCAGCAGAACGAGCGATCATCTCTCGAGTTGTCTAGAAACAATCAACACACAACTTCTGAAATCTAAATAAACAATACTTGAATTCTTGTGAGAAGGAATATGGGTATATATTACAATACAGGATTTTAAAAAGGGGGACCACAGCCCTCCTGCCGGTATATGGAAAATACTCATTTCATCACATCTCTCACTGATGGATTTCAATGTTATAGTTACTTCTTAAAATCTCGCTGCAAACCAAATTTCTCAAACTGAATACTTAAAAAAAAATTTCACTCATAGAAAAAGAAACAGAAAGGGCCACCAGCTAAAATATTCTACGAGGCCTGTATTTAGACTGAATTGGTCTCTCATTGTGAGTGATTTCAGGGAGACTATCTATGCTAGACAAATGTCAGACTGCTCTATGAAATCTGCACCAACATCTCAATGAGAATAGAAGAGCTTTGATTTTTAATCATAACCCTGTAACTGTGCAGTCTGAGAGCTGCTGTGATTATCCCAATTTATCTTTTTAGTTTAGGACTCTGTAAGGAGATGATAAGGAAAGTTAAATTACAACACATGGAGGTAGGGCCTGGTGTCATAAAGCAAATTTGTCATTTTTTGGGGGAGTGGGTAAATAACATGCATAGGGCTTGATTCTTATTTTAGCACTTCTGCACTATAAGTTTTCAACACTATTAGAAGACTTTCAGTAAAAAAAAAAAAAAAAAAGAAAAAYCATCTTGTTGAGGGGCTAGGAGGCAATAAGGAGGAAATAAAGAAGCACAGAAGAGTGCTTGACAATGAGATATGACATCCTTAGTAGAAGGCAAGATTTCACTATTGCCAGAAAAAACTCTGTCACTCATTTTTGCATTTAATCATTCCCTTCAGTTATGGAGTTGACATTCTTCACCTCTATACTAAAGGTAGTTCTGAGAAGATCCTATGGGACAGGATGGCTAACTAAAATTAAGCAAATAAAAAGTGTACATTACTATATCCCTACATTTTATTTATTTATTTTTGGTTACTAGGGATTGAACCCAGGGGTAGTTTACCACTGAGTTATATCCTTAGCCCTTTTTCTTTTTCTTCGCCATATTCCCAGCATTTTAAAATTTATTTTATTTTTTGAGACAGGGTCTCACTAAGTTGCATAGGGCCTTGCTCAATTGCTGAGGCTGGCTTTGCACTTGTGATCCTCCTGCCTCCTGAGCTGGTGGGATTACAGATGAACCCAATACTCGCACATGCAATTACTTTATCACTGAGCTAGATCCCCAACCCACTATATCCCTACTTTTATTTATTTATTTATTTTTGAATTTTTTTAATATTTATTTTTTAGTTTTTGGCGGACACAACATCTTTGTATGTGGTGCTGAGGATTGAACCCGGGCCGCACGCATGCCAGGCAAGCGCGCTACCGCTTGAGCCACATCCCCAGCCCTATCCCTACTTTTAAACAAACTGATTTCACAAAAAGTTTCAGAAGACATCTGATTTATCTGATATGTAGACCTTTAGAAATGTCTGTTTTAGAATAAATATTTTAGAAGGTAGTAATTATTGAAAAGTTGTTACATCATAGAAGACAAGACAATATGATGTCTAAGAATTAAAAGTGGTTCTGAGCYGGGCGTGGTGGCTCACGCCTATAATCCCAGCGGCTCGGGAGGCTGAGGCAGGAAGATCATGAGTTCAAAGCCAGTCATAGCAAAAGTGAGGCACTAAGCACTACAAAATAGGGCTCAGTGGTCAAGTGCCCCTGAGTTCAATCCCTGGTACCCCCCCCCCAAAAAAAAGTGGTTCTGAAAGCCAGGCATGAAAGAAACCTCAATGGGGGATGGGGAGGGGGGAGACTGGAGGAACTTTGATTGGGCAGAGGGGAGGGAGGGAAGCAGAGGGGTCGAGGGGGCATGGTGGAATGAGATGAACATCATTACCCTAGGTASATGTATGAATGCACCTATGGTGTGATGCTACATCGGGTGTAACCAGAGAAATGAAAAATTGTGTTCCATTTGTGTACATGAATCCAAATGCATTCTGCTATCATGTACAACTAATTAGAACAAATTAAAAAAAGAAACCTCAATGACAAAAGATGGAGGTGGGAAATGAGTGATAGGACACCCTTCAGAGTCAGAATAACATAGAAGCATCTCTGAATAAATAAAACCCAATACATACAGGGTCTGACCCCAATTTTAACACTTCTGTACCATAAGTTTTCAACTCTATTAGAAGACTTTCAGTAAAACCTCTGATTTTTTTTTTTAATTAGAGCTTTATGGGGGGAGGGGGGGTGTAAATAATTCCAACACATAGTAGTTGGAATCACCCCAACAAATTCATACATACACGGAAGTTAATTTCAGTTCATGATCCCCCCCCCTTTTCTATCCTATCCTTTCAGCAAAAACCTCTTCAATGTTAAATAGGAAATGAGTGGACATGCTGGGTGTGGTGGCGCACTCCTATAATCCCAGCAGCTTTGGAGTCTGAMACGGAGAATTGAGAGTTCAAAGCCAGGCTCAGCAACTGTGAGGCACTGTCTCTAAATAAAACACAAAATAGGGCGGGGGATGTGGCTCGGTGGTGGAGTACCCCTGAGTTTAATCCCTGGTACCAACCAACAAATAAACAAACAAACAACAATAACAACAACAAAAAACAAGTGGGCATAACAAATTCCCTTGACTCGCTAAGCAGCAAGCACTCACTGCTTCTCTCTTATTTATGTCATGCATGTAGGAAAGCCCAATTTAAGTTGAAGGTTTAATTCCATTTGGAAACAGGTCATGTGATGCCACACCACTTTCAGTTTGAGCTAGGTAAATAGCAAGAAATATTATTCATCTCTTACCTCTTTGATAACTCGGTCAAAGGAAGATGAACCTTCTTTTTGTACATTTGCAGGTCCTAACTCCTACAAATTAAACAAACAAAAATTCTTGGAGATCTTGGAGGTTTTTTTTTTTTTTTTTTTTTTTTTTTAAAGAGAGTGGAGAGGAGAGAGAAAAAGAGAGAGAGAGAGAATTTTAATATTTATTTTTTAGTTTTTGGCTGACACAACATCTTTGTTGGTATGTGGTGCTGAGGATCGAACCCGGGCCGCACGCATGCCAGGCGAGCGCGCTACCGCTTGAGCCACATCCCCAGCCCCATCTTGGAGGTTTTAAATAGAATTTCAACCAAGATAAAAATGAAACTACTTGGCTTTTCCCCCCAAAGCAGCCCAAATGGCAATAATAACTTGAAAGGAAAAGGGGATCACACATAGAAAGCAGCTTCAACATACCTCAACCTTGTCGAATTCCTGGTAATGCTACAGAAGAAATGCAAAGAAAGAATAATTAGGTTGTTAACATGTCATGTGAGAGACGACAAATGAAAATTCTACTGGCATAAAATAGGTGATTTTTTTTGTGTGTGGGGGAGACTACAAATCTATTGATTTCTACTTCTAATTAATCAACTGGAAATAAATGTCTCCAAGATGATATTATTGCTAAGTTTAATCTATTAGTTTACTGGAAAAACAAGCAAATGATCATGAAAAAGCTATTTTTCTTGTGATACTGAGGCCTGAACCCAGGGGCACTCTACACTGAACTACACCACCAGCCTTTTATTTTAAGACAAGGTCTTGCCTAGGCTGGCTTGAACTAACAATCCTTCTGCTTCAGTCTCCTGTGAAAATTAATTTTTTTAAAAATTTAACCTTTATTTATTTGTTGTTTTGTTGTTATGTGGTGCTGAGGATTGTACCCAAGGCCTCACCTGTCCTAAGCAGGCGCTCTACCTCTGAGCCACAACCCCAGCCAGAAAACTAAACAAAACACAGCCAAGGATGGTAGAGCACACCTGAAGCCCCAGCACAGGAGGGTTCCTAGAGTCCTGGAGATCAACACTAACCTGAGCAACATGGAAACCCTCCCACCCACCCTCATGGTCTCAAAGAAAACAAAAGATAGGAAGCCAAAAAGAACATTATTTACTAAACATACACGTTCAACAGAAAATAAGTTGGTAAAAACACAGCTCCCAGGCTGGGGCAGTAGCTCAGTGGCAGAGCACTTGCTTCACTTGTGTTTGATCCTTAGCACCACATAAAAATCAAACAAATAAAATAAAGGCATTCTGTCCCTCTACTACTACTACAAAACAAAAACAAAAACAAACAAACAAAAACCATAAAACAAAACAAAACAAAAAACACAGCTCAAGGTTCCAAACCCTCTCATGGAAAAAGCAGAATCAATACCACATTAGGACAAAACTCTTTTCTTCACTACACAAAAGAACAGAGAATTGGTGCTAAGTTGARTAGCTGAAATCATCTCAGTTTTCCTTTAGTATCTGACTTTCTAAAATAGGCAAGTGAGATTTTTTTTCCTCTTCTGGAGAAGACAATATGAACACCACTAAAGCCCAGACTATATCAGATGAGGAAATATTGTTTGTGGGATATTACAGAAATAGAAAGTGGGCTAGGTAGCAAGAAAACAATCAGACAATTCAGTTTCTTATTATATGACAATAAGTTTTATTTTCTAGTCATATCAGATTTTAAAAGAGATATTTTGTAAAAAGAATTACTTAAAAAAAAAAAATCAAGGGCTGGAGTTATGGCTCAGTGGTAAAGTGCTCACCTAGCAAGCACGAGGCACTGGGTTCGATCCTCAGCACCACCTAAATATAAAATAAAGATATTGTGTCTACCTAAAACTAAAAAAAATAAATATTAAAAAAAAATCAGAGGCAAGAGCTGGGGTATGTATAGCTCAGTGGTAGAGCACTTGTCTAGCTCTGGGTTCAAACCCTAGCACTGCAAAACAAACGAAAGCAAGAGAAGAAATGTTAATATTAAGCAAAATTATGTGCTTTGGCAAAATTTTGGGTTTGTGGCTAGAATTAATTCTAATGGTTTCAGATCTCTTTAAACATTTTCACTCATTTCCAGATTTTGTTTTTTACCTCATTGATAAAATCGTCTACTTCATCTCTTCTATATTATCATGAACAAAATAAAATTCTTATTCAGATATACAGAACACTCCTTGTAAAGATTACTAGTTTTCTTCATCCTGAATAGGTCTTTCTTCAAACTGCATAAGTGGCTTTTGATACTAGTACTATTATATTTCTTCTTTTCCACATTTAAAAAATTGGTATATTATAGTTTTACATAATGATGGAATCTGTTATGTATTTGTATGTGCACACAATATAAAAATGCAATTTGGCCAATATCACTCCCCAGTAAGTACTGTTACATTTCACTGCACTGTACATGTGAAACATCTTCAGGGTACCTGGCTACCTACCTCAAGTTTGTCTTAGTTTTCCTGTACATAAAGAAACTTGTTCTCAAGCATTAATTTTGCTTTTAGTTTAGGTCTATACATAAACCTCTATGACTAGATAACAACTGCCTTTCCGTATGTAAATCTCATTAAGGTGAGAACACTTTCACTGAGCCCAGAGCAGGGTGTTGCTGGAAAGGAGAGAGTGTAAACACCCACCCAAACACCGGCCCATTAACACTCTGGCACTTGGCCTGGTGGTCACCTGAAATGATGCTTCTAGATTGAGCAAAACAAGTGAAGGGTAAAAGAGCCTCGGTGTGAGGAAAACTAAAAAACCTCTCAAGGTCAACAAAGCCTGCACAGAATTCAAAATCTGAGTCAACTAAGTAATGAAACTGACCAATAAAATCATGATTTGTTTATCAGATGATAAAACCATAGAACTGGGGGCAACTTTAATGGCTTAAAAAATACACTGAGCCGGGAGCAGTGGTACACGAACGGAATCCCATCAGCTCAGGAAGCTGAGGCAGGAGGATTGTGAGTTCAAAGTCAGCCTAAGCAATTTAGTGAGGTTGCAAGGAATTTAGTGAGACTCTWAGCAACTTAACAAGACCTTGTCTAAGTAAAATATTTAGGGGATTGGGATAATGGCTCAGTGGTTAAGAAACCCTGGGTTCAATCCTCATATAAAAAAAAAAAATACACTGAAGATTGTATGAAGTACTATTTAAATGTGCAGTTAGTAAACACATTTTAATGTGATATATATACTATATAGTTTGAAAATATTATAGAGATTTAGTGAGCATATATCTGYTTGTGCACATGCCCTCTCTCTATTGCTTGTTTTGTTTGGTGTAGGGGGTTGAACCTATGGTTTCCCGCATGGTTAGGATGCACTCTTATCACTGAGCTTCAGCCCTGCTGCTATACTTTTTTAAGAATTACAGTMAAGAAGATAACTTACCCCTGGTGCTAGGAGACAGAATAACCAACTAGAAAAACCCATGTTTATATTCTCAACCATATTCATGCTGTACAACCTTCCTTTGTACTGTTCTGATACAGAATTTTCATTCATAACACCTTTATAAATATAGCAAAGGACAATTGTGCCTGCAGAAGCACTTTCTAAACATTAAGGCTGCCTTTAAAGTTAATTCAGCTTGAGCTACACTATACTAGGTGCCACTGAGAAATCAGTACAATCAAAATGATAATACAAGCTTTCCTATTAAAAGTAAAAAGCTGGCAAAACAAAAGGATCACTAAGAAAGAAACAAATGTAACTGATGTTTGTAACTTTTGACTTTTCTTCCCTTTTGGGGAAGGATAATCCACATTTTACTTGTATATGCCTTTGCCATGTTGAGGATATAACCTTCAACAGAAGGAGCAAGGAAGGGGCATACACATGGGCTGGAACTCATACTGTCCTCCCTTCCTTTAAGGCCATGTGCAAACCTACATGGGTTTTTTTGACACTAGATTGCTCCCTCCTGTCCCCAAACCGACCACGGACAGAGACCCAAACTTCTCTCTTTGATGCTTTAACTCCTTTTGTTTTTCCATCCCCAAATTTTATTCCTGAAGTGAGAGAGAACACCAAGACACCCTGACCCAACCTCTCTTCCAAGCCTTCTGTAGAAGCCACCTCATCACCCAGGCTGACAACACAGACTCCTAACAACTGGTGACACCATCCACCCTGAGACCAAGACAGTGGGCATGAGTGCYTTATGTGTGTTAGGCAGGGCCACTATGGCAGGATGTGGAAAGTCACAGGGCTCCTGGGGTGTGCCTGAAAGTGGGGGCCAAAAGGTCCAAGAAGCCAAGGACATACATTTATTTGTCATGGAAGTCCACATGGGCTCCAGACTTGAACATTTCTTTTGCAGAAAGCTCCATAATTTCTGGGCAGACATTCTGCACTCCACCAGCTCCCTCTTTGTCCTCAACTCCTGCAGTCTTTTTTCTAAGTATGGGTCTCTGGAGGTTTCCCAGGCCAATTGCTGCATATCTGTGTCCAGGGGACCTAGGGCATAGCTCAGTCTCCTCAAGCTAGGTTTCTCGGTGGCAAGACTGGAACATTATGTCACAGGCAATCTTCCATGCACAGTACCACGTCCAGCCCTTGAAAGACTACAGGGCACAGAGGTATGAGATGTTAACTGCAGTCCTGCTGAGGACAGGACTGTCGAGGAAGGCCTTCAGGATGCTGGAACAGAGCCCAGTAGATATTCAGCTAGGTCATCCAGGTTCATGGAGCCTTTGGAAACGCTGCCAAGAGTGCCCATATTGTTGATGAGCAGCACTCACAGCAGCCTCTCAGGCTTGAGGAGCTCCTAAAAGGTTGCCTATCGGCCAAGAAGCCCAGGTTGGCAAGCACCTAGGCCACATGCAAGCCAGGTGATCACAGGTCTAGCTTGGCCTCCAGCTGCCATAGCACCTCATCACTGTGAGAACTTAGGAGGAACACCATGTTCAAGGCTGGGCCAGTGACCTGCTGAAGCCACTCTTCTTGCCATTGCCATTTTTCAGGTCACCGACCTCTGCCTGTTGGCACTGGGAACTAAGATCTAGCACTAACCACACAGTCGTAGTAGAAGCCTTGTGTGATTATGATATCATGGGCCAGGGTGGGAACCTAAAATTTAGGGGGCTCAGCCCTGGGAGTTGATGTTTTTAAAAATATTTAATRGGCTGGGGGTAGCCCAGAGGTAAAATTCATGCCTACATGTGTGAGGCACTAGCATAATTAAACAAACAAACAAATAAACAAAGAAAACAAAACAAAAAGAAAACCACACATCTTAAATATATGGAAAAAATTTAAAATACACTTACTTATATTTCCATCACCAAGGAACCATGACTTTCAAGGAACCTAGTATGAGGGTGCTGATCCCTTGGGGGGAACCCTAAACACTCTGCTCAAGATCTGTTACCTTCTTAAAGTGCCACAGATATAGCTGAAGTTCTACCACTCGGTCCCTTTCCCCTTCCCCAAAACAGGTACCATGCATTAATGTATAGTTCGATAAGTTTTTAAAGAACTTTAAAAATTAATGCATACACAGAAAAATKCATAGAACACCAATGTACAATATAATAATCAAAAGGCCAATGTCCATATAGCCATGTCCATGGTGATTAAAATCCAATGTCCATATAACTCTTATAGCTAGAGTTATAAATGTTACATTGAAATTGCTCTTAATCAGTAGAATAAATTGCATAAAAGGCAACTAGAACCTATAAGAAGATTAGTTGATTTACCTCTTACCTGTAAAACTTTACCATGGACAACAGTTCCAAGGACTCCTGAACACAGTCTTGGAGTTAAGCCTGTGAACAACCCACGCCTCCCATCGATACTTGCAATGTGCTGAGCTAGGAACACAAGTTAAGAGATTTAAGTTCTAGTTCAAAGAAATGATTACATAGAAATTTCAAGACAACATGCCTTCCACGTATTTTCTTTTAGTAACTTTTGCCTACCACAGTCTCAATGTCACCCATTTCTCAATAAATCAAAGTTACTTACCGTAACAAAAGAGACCAGGAAGCTGACATACTTGCCGCCCAAAAATATTTCGTCCTATTGTTGGGGCAAGAGGTTCATATCCCACCTTTAAAAGTAAGGGAATAAATACATTAATACTAAGCAATATTCCCAGAATGCTTTGGCTGCAAGGTCTTGAACAAAGAACAAAATCAGGGTCATAATTTTTAACACACTTTACGTTTTCCAAAGCAGTGATGAATTGTCATCTCTGTCAGTTTTTTGTTCTGTCAAACTGATTAAGACTGGGTTCAATAAACTACAAGTTGCTTTTTAGTTCAAAAGTCTTCAAAGTAAAAACCACGTAGCCAAGATAGACTAATGTCAGGGTTGTTTTTGTTTTTTTAGTGCTGGGGATTAAACCTAGGGGAGCTCTACCACTGACAAACACTTCCTAGCCCTTTTTATTTTGAGACAGGATTTTGCTAAATTGCATAGGCTAGCCTTGAATTTTCGATGTTTCTGCCTCAGCCTCCCCAGTGGCTGGGATTACAGACCAATACAATAATATCAGTTTTTTGAGAACTGAAAATAGAATAAGGAAACTTTTGTGTTAGGAACATTTTACTGAAGAGGCTCAAAAAATATTTTCTAGAGAAAATCTAGGGCATTTAAAATATTTGAACAAAATAAGATAATATCCATCCACTAAGCCAGCATCAACTGCCATTTGGCTAACTAGACAAAACACTCAAAAGACAAAAGCAGACATACCTGAGTAACTGACTTGGGAAAAAAATTACAAGTTAGGTTCATATTACATGAACACACTCATTAACAGTCTAAGGAAAGTCATTTATACAATTAATGACTGACATTTTATTTGTACAATATATGTAGAATTTCTAGTGTTATGAGGATATTTGAGAGAATAATGGTAGGACTCAATTTTGGCTCTTGTTGCTGTGATTCCTTACAATTAAATAATTCCAGAGAGTGCTGCCATGTAACTATTTTTGAAACCAGTATTTGGGAATTTCACCAAAACCCCTGAGATACTTGGCAACCCATAGATGTTATGAAATCAGAATTAAGGCTATTCAAGTTATTGAGGTAAGACTTCTGAATGTCACTAAAAAACGTCTCCCGAAGATCTATTGAGTGGTGGGTTCACATTAGGTATACTAGAGAATGCTGTCATCTCATGCTATCTAGCCTGAAAGGTGTCAATTCTCTATTTTAGACATCGCAGTACATTTCAGTCTTTGTCCTAGTTCAAATAATTTATTTTACAATATCCTTTTACATATGGAATCTGAATCTACAGGAGTCAACTGAGCAACAAATAATCTGGATTAATAACATCTCAAGAATAATATATATCCCTGGTGAACTATATAGTTTTTAGGGAAAGGTAGAGGACAGGGATTCTAAAATCTGTTTCCCTCCTTATTATCAAGCACAAGATAATTATGTCAATGCTCAATGAGATTTAAAAAGAAAAAAGAATCACCTGGCCATAAAGAGGAAATTTGGAAAAGCAATTGAAAATACTATCTATCATCAGCTAAAATCTGGCCTACTTGCCTGTGAGTAGAAAATACCACTTAATAAATATTTTATGGTAGATGAAAAACTAAGGACAGGCAAGAGAAGACATCAGGAGTTTAATGCTCATGTTTAAACTCGCCAAAACTCTTTTAACTGAACTGATTTCCAGTTCTGGCAAACGTGATTTTCATTGTCATGAACCACATGGGCTGCTGCAGGACAGCACTYAATGGATTCTTTCGAAATTTGACTTCATTATCACTTCTGAAAGAACTCCTTGTGTTTATCTGARTATCTGGTGTTAAAATCTCTGAACAGAATAGCAGTAGTAACAGTAGCAAGGAAAAAAGGAAGAAAAGCGAATAAAAATAATAAAATGTCGGGTTTCCTATGACTTCAAATTTGTCTTCAACAAATACTTCCTGTCCTGCATTTGAGAATTTTTTGCCGGGGTGGGGGGAGGGARCCAGGTAAGGTGAATGCTAATCTCAGAGGGGTGAAGGGGAGAGTCTGGATCCCTAGGTGGCGACCCGCCAGGATTAACCTCGGGGAAGGTAAAAAACAAAGTTCAGAGGTGCCACTGAGCAGGACAGGGTGGCAGTTGGCTGTGGGAGGAGGAGTGGGCCTCACCGCCTGGAGGGGAGGCGAGACCTCGGAGAGGCCCAAGAGAGAGGCTCCGCGGGTCGGTGGAGAGGGAAGAGGGCAACAGAGAAGGGGCAGCATCCCGGAGGTGGAAGGCCGAGGCAAGGCTGGAGCCGATCCGCAGCCGCCCTGCGCAGGGGCGACCCGGCGGGCGCTGGAGGGGAAGGGAGTGGCGACGACTCATACCTGGATGAGCACTTTCACGTACATGAGCGGCTGAGACAGGATGGTGAGACCGGAGCCCAGGAGAACCTGACTGGCCGCGTCCGCCATGATGGCACCCGCGGACGGACAGACAGACCAAGCCACCCAGCGACAGAGCCGGTCGCAGATCACGTGCCGGGGCCGCCGGCTCCACTGGCCCGCCCGCAGCGCGCGCGCGCGCGCACGCACCGGCGCGCCCCGTCCCAGGCCCCGCCCACCACCCCTCCCTGAGAAACGGCAGGCGCTCGCGAACGGGCTCTGGGGGCGGGCGGGGCTTAGGGGCGGGGGGCGCACGCGTAGTGTAGTGGGACCYACGCCCTCCACGGGGAGTGAGAGTTTCTCATGCGCATGCGTGTGTGGAACTGTCCGGAAGGAGAAGCAAGGGTGTGGCAATGGGGTGTGTGTGACCCTGACAGCAAAGGCAAGGTCAGAGGAATAAAAAGAATTGAATGGGAGTCTGCGATTTGCTTCCTTCTGGCCTGCCCGTGAGCGTCAACTACATAGGATGCCTGGGGTATTCGGCGTCCTTCTTACCGACTGGCCAACCAACGCCAAATAAGGCTGACATGGAATAATGAGTGGTCTGCGGGTTGCTCATCTTGCACGCGTGCACTCCTTCCTTCTATTAATGCATCTTCTCAGAACCACCTGTGACCACTCTAGTAAATTCACCTCCCCGTGAATGCAAGCTTCTTGAGTGGGGGAACCAGACGGCCTTYGCTCCCAGTTGTTATTTCCAGTTTCTGGCACACATTACGTGCTCATTAAACATTAATTACAGCAGTGAACGACCATTTCAGTGCCAACGGGCTGCAGACTGTTAGAAGCAAAACTGAAAGAAAAAAAAAAAAAAAAAAAAAAAACTTGTCCCTACCCTTCAGTCCCCAGCTTACATGTTCTGTATCAAAGAACACTGAGGCAGAGCAGCACCAAGAATGAGGAATTAAGAATTAAGACTCTTTTGAATCCAGGCTTTTCCTTTATATCTGTCAGTTTATACTTTGCTTTTGAGAGTGTAGCTAAGTCTAAGGTTAACACTGCTRCTTACCTCCCAGAGTTATTATGAGCATTAATTGTGCATTGAAATTGTGCATAGAAAAGGAGGTTTTCAAAACTGTATTGAAATATAAATGCTAGTTTTAATTAACATCACCCGGTACTACCCCAGAGCTGGGTGATACTGGGAGGCAGTTTGTAGAGCAGAGGGTACATGGGCTTTGAAGTCCAATGGACCTGGTCCAAATTCTACCTCTGCCAGTTACTGTGTGACCTTAGATCACATTACCTCCTTGAACCTTACACAGATGAATTTAGTAATAATGTTGTGGGGAATGAATTATATGTCTACCTAGCCTGGCACACACGCAAAAAGCAATATAAAAAAGAAGGAGAAGGAAAAGGAGAAGAAGAAAAGTAAAGAAATCAAATGGTAGGTTTTAGAATTACAAGAAACTCCCAAGTTGCCTTTCACTAAATCCAGAAACATTAATTTTGGTGGTAATAGGGATTGAACCTAGGGGTGCTCTACTACTAAGTTACTCTCCAGCTCTTTTCACTTTTTATTTTGAGACAGGTTTTCACTAAATTGTCCAGGCTGGCCTCAAACTTTCGATCCTCCTGCCTCAATCTCCTGAGTTCCTGGGATTAGGCATGCGTCATTAGGCCTGGCTTCCAGAAACTTTTAGACATCAATCAGAACCAGAGAGACAATTTAGTAAGGGGATTCTTTATTTATAGGTTTGTRCATTAATACTGCCAAAATATATCCATTACCTCTGTCCCACTGAAGCCTGTGGGCAACGAGAGGCACAGTGTAATTTGCAAGGGGAGATGGTTAATTCAGGCTGCTCCACTACATTCTCCAATGGTGCAGGACGGAAGCTGCACAAGAAGTTTTGGGAAGACTCTGCAGAGGGGAGGGAAACGAAGACAGTATTATAGATAAGAGAAGTGCAGCAAGTACAGAACTGCTATGTTCAGCTRCTCAGGCTGTGCACTGCACAACTCCAAATGGGGCCATTTGTAAAAACTATGATCTGAATGGCATTCCCTGATATAGTTCAATATGATGATCCTACAATGGCTTCTATTGGGTGACTCAAGTGGTGAGAAGAAAAGCCAAAAAGTAGCAGAACTAATTGGGAAGGGAAAGAACTAGGACAATATAATGTTACTGAAGTCAAGACAATTCCAGGTGTTTG